CTCGGTGGTCGGTCATGAAAATTCATAGTTTTTTACATCCCTACCGTGAACACATACTGCTGTTATATAAAGTCACCTCCGTGAACACATACTGCTGTTATATAAAGTCACCTCCGTGAACACATACTGCTGTTATATAAAGTCACCTCCATGAACACATACTGCTGTTATATAAAGTCACCTCCGTGAACACAAACTGCTGTTATATAAAGTCCGTGCAGCGTGAAGACACGCTGCAAAGCTGCATATTGGAGAAGATCTGTACACGAGAAGCCGCTAGCATAGCTCTGTTAGCATTAGAGCCGGCCGGCTACTTCCGGTACTTCCGGCTCGCGTCAGGACGTTCTGGTGTGAAGACCTCTGCGTCTGAAAACTAGAGAATGTGCGTCTGGTGAGCGGGGCTTCAGCGTTTCAGCGTTTGCAGTCTGAATGCACCATAACTCTCTCTTCAGACTCTTACACACTTCAAGACATTATGCACTGCAGGTTTGAGCAAAAGCAGAAGACCAATACTACTTCTTCATCAATAAAACAAACCTGCAGACAGGCGGGTTCGAACCCATGACCTTCAGGTTCAAAGGCAAAGGCAGGCCCCAAATGCTATGACATAGATCCTCATGTTTGAGATAGAAACACATGTTACAGATGTTATCACTTTCTCCGTCTGTAACTGAAGAACAGGCGTGTTTCTGGTAAAGACTGGCTCCAACTCAAAGACAGAAGAATCATGAATCCGTCAGGACTGCTGAGGACTGCTGAGGACTGCTGAGGACTGCTGAGGACTGCTGAGGACTGCTGAGGACTGCTGAGGACTACTGAGGACTGCTGAGGACTACTGAGGACTGCTGAGAGCTGCTGAGAGCTGCTGAGGACTGCTGAGAGCTGCTGAGGACTGCTGAGAGCTGCTGAGGACTGCTGAGGACTGCTGAGGACTGCTGAGGACTGCTGAGGACTACTGAGGACTGCTGAGGACTACTGAGGACTGCTGAGAGCTGCTGAGGACTGCTGAGGACTGCTGAGAGCTGCTGAGGACTGCTGAGGACTGCTGAGAGCTGCTGAGGACTGCTGAGGACTGCTGAGGACTGCTGAGAGCTGCTGAGGACTGCTGAGGACTGCTGAGGACTGCTGAGAGCTGCTGAGGACTGCTGAGGACTGCTGAGAGCTGCTGAGGATTACTGAGGACTGCTGAGGACTACTGAGGATTGCTGAGGACTGCTGAGGCCCGCCTCCTGCCAATCGGTCCATATCACAAATGGAGCCAATAAAACTCTCATAAACATCATTAACTTACATCATTCATGGAAAAGGTTCATCAAAAGAGCAACAACAGAGTCAGAAATCTCTGGTTGCATTACCAGGTGCATCACCAGGTGCATCACCAGGTGCATTACCAGGTGTAACAGCAGTTGTTTGGAGCACAACGTCTTTGATTCACAAACCACAGATCAGAGAATCCAACAGCCCAAACAGGTAAGAATCGAACCCAGGACCTTCTGTCTGAGCATCACAGAAGCTTCACAGGTCATTTCATTACTCAAACACCGTGATGATGTCACCACTGGACGGCACAGTGGCTGAGTGGTTAGCGCTTGTGCCTCACAACAAGAAGCTCCTGGGTTTGACTGTCTGTCTGCATAGGTTTCCTCCAGGTGCTCCGGTTTCCCCCACCACAAAAACATGTACAATAGGTCTGTGCCTCCTGTAGACTCTGCTCCATCTCTGAGGAGTCAGACACAAATGTTTACAACACACAAGGAGCTATGTGATGTAAGAGTATCTACTACTGTAGCCACAGCTGCCCTGGGGCACACTGACAGAAGTGAGGCAACCAGTCTGTGCCATCGGCCCCTCCCACCACCACCAACCATTCACACACACACCAGACTCATTCTAATGTTGGGGAAGTGTCTTGCCTAAGGACACAACCACAGATTAGCACTTTACAGCCCACTTTATCTCCTTATTATCCTGCCATCGATATTATGTATAGATATAGATCGATATTATGTATAGATATAGATCCATATTATGTATAGATATAGATCCATATTATGTATAGATATAGATCCATATTATGTAGATATAGATCGATATATTATGTATAGATATAGATCGATATTATGTATAGATATAGATCGATATTATGTATAGATAGATATTATGTATAGATATAGATCGATATTATGTATAGATATAGATCCATATTATGTATAGATATAGATCCATATTATGTATAGATATAGATCGATATTATGTATAGATATAGATCGATATTATGTAAAGATATAGATCGATATTAGGTATAGATATAGATCCATATTATGTATAGATATAGATCCATATTATGTATAGATATAGATCGATATTATGTATAGATATAGATCGATATTATGTATAGATATAGATCGATATTATGTATAGATATAGATCCATATTATGTATAGATATAGATCCATATTATGTATAGATATATAGATCCATATTATGTATAGATATAGATCCATATTATGTATAGATATAGATCCATATTATGTATAGATATAGATCGATATGTATAGATATAGATCGATATGTATAGATATAGATCGATATTATGTATAGATATAGATCGATATTATGTATAGATATAGATCGATATGTATAGATATAGATCGATATGTATAGATATAGATCGATATGTATAGATATAGATCGATATTATGTATAGATATAGATCGATATTATGTATAGATATAGATCGATATTATATAGATATAGATCGATATGTATAGATATAGATCGATATTATGTATAGATAGATATTATGTATAGATAGATATTATGTATAGATCCATATTATGTATAGATATAGATCCATATTATGTATAGATATAGATCGATATTATGTATAGATATAGATCGATATTATGTATAGATATAGATCGATATTATGTATAGATATAGATCGATATTATGTATAGATATAGATCGATATTATGTATAGATATATAGATCGATATGTATAGATATAGATCGATATTATGTATAGATATAGATCGATATTATGTATAGATATAGATCGATATTATGTATAGATATAGATCGATATTATGTATAGATATAGGTCGATATTATGTATAGATATAGATCGATATTATGTATAGATATAGATCGATATTATGTATAGATATAGATCGATATTATGTATAGATATAGATCGATATTATGTATAGATATAGATCCATATTATGTATAGATATAGATCGATACTATGTATAGATATAGATCCATATTATGTATAGATATAGATCGATACTATGTATAGATATAGATCCATATTATGTATAGATATAGATCCATATTATGTATAGATATAGATCCATATTATGTATAGCAGTGTCTCCCAAAGTGGGGTCCGCGGCCCCCTGGTGGGCCGCGAGGGTACTGCAGGGGGGCCGCGGGAGGTCATAAAAAAAATAAAAATGATAATATAATTATTTAATGTTAAATTTATAATGTTTTGTTTGTAATATTAAAATATTTGTGTTCATTATTTGACTTGAATAATCCACTGTAATCATTTTTGTATTACAATGTTTGTAGCAGAGGCTATTTCCCCAAAATAAAATAACCAGAAAGGCCTATTCTTAATGTTGTCTTCTTGGTTATTATTTTGGGGGGCCACGCAGACCCGTCAGATTTTTAAGGGGGCCTCGGTGTTACTGAGTTTGGGAATGGCTGATGTATAGATATAGAAGCATTTACAGCTAAGAAACAGCAGCGACCGATAATGTATATTCTGTGTCACTTTCCACTGTCCTATAAGTGTGCTGCAACATTGGAATTTCTTATCTGTATAAAAATTACATTAAATAACTTTAATGATTAGAGGTGTGGAGGCCCCAGGGACCTTTGGGAATGACTGCTCTGAGGCCGTTCACATTACACTGTCAGTACAGTCATGACATGTACATACTTTGGGATTCTAAAAGTCCTGCTCTGTGTTTTTTCTCGATGCTGAATGTAATGTCCCATTGGTACCAACAGATGGCGCTGTTTCACTGATACTGGTCATTTCTTGGCAATGGACAAACTGTTCAAATCTTCCCAAACTTCATGGCTTAATTTAGCTTTCTATTTATTTGTTCTTCTGTAAAGCGTCTGAGTGCCCAAAAAAACACTATTTAAAAAGGTAAATTAGGAGGATTTTCTGCTTCCGGTGGATCTTACTATTGGTCCTCCCACTTGTCAATCAAACGGGGAGAGGGGCAGTTCTTTCCTAAACTTTTTACAATGCATTGTTATTATTATTGTAATTTTTATTATCATCATCATCATCATAACAAGGAAAACTATGTAAAGATTCAATAAGACGTAGAAACACATCCTGGACAAATATGTATCTTATATTAATGGTAATAAGTCATTAACAAATGTATTTAAGATTAAGATGAAGAGACACTTTCCTCATCCCACAGCGGAAATGTCAGTGTTGCAGCAGCAGTTACAGAGCAGTAGGAATGAGGAACAATAACTCTAAACTAAATAAAATAAAATCTCTTAACTCCAGCATGAAAAGAAACAGTGTAAAATCTCCATCTTTAGCATAAGTTTAGTTTCAGTTTCGCGGCGCCCTCTCCGTGTCCGTGCTTGTTCCTCCGTAAACACAGACTTCAAAATGACCAGACTTTGGTTTCTTTAAGTTCAGTAACCTCCTCCGTGTGGACCTGCTACTGCACACAACTGTTGTTTTAACTGTTTTAAATCACACAGACTCTAAATGCATTCAAGAGGTTCACGGTGGAGTCAAACAAACACGTGTTGTCTGCAGAAAGTCTGAATCTCACGGTAACTTTCCACACTCACATCCACTCTTCCCCATCTCTGCAGAAGGACAGTAAGAGCAGTAAGAGCAGTAAGAGCATGCATTACAGTCAGAGCTCTAAACTATGCAAATGTGTGTGTCCTACAGTGACCACAGCCGCGCTACACTGAAGCATGTGCAGTAGAGAATCACTTACATAACCATCCACGCTGCTGCAGGGAAGTGCAAAACACAAAAAGAGACGAACAACTTTGCACGAGAGAGAAAGAGCCAAATAAAATATCCTCTTTAGTTGTTTTTCCCAAAGCGACAGAGCACCGTCCTGAGCACCGTGGTTCTGAGAGTGCTTCGCCGGAGATGCTGTCCCCTGGTCCGGGCAGAGATACCAGAAGGAGACCAGAGAGAGACCAGAGAGAGACCGGGGAGAGACCCACTGGAGCTGGACCTGGAGCACACACGAGGAGCAGGGGGCGGGGCCAGGCTTCCACAGGTGAAGACGTAGTTTACGGGGGTTGCCAGATACTAATAATAACGAGTGTGTAACTAGAAGATATTAATGTTTGTAAAATAAAATAAAATAAAAAGGTAAAAACGAAAAATAAGCAAAAAAAGAAAGTGTAAAAAAGATTTAAATAAGTCTGAACCTGGTAAATGTTGAAACTTTACTACTAAAAGTAAGTTTCTATTTAAAGACCTAATGTGAGAGGACTTCAGGACAGAGACCTGAGACCAGGACTAATGTGAGAGGACTTCAGGACAGAGACCTGAGACCAGGACTAATGTGAGAGGACTTCAGGACAGAGACCTGAGACCAGGACTAATGTGAGAGGACTTCAGGACAGAGACCTGAGACCAGGACTAATGTGAGAGGACTTCAGGACAGAGACCTGAGACCAGGACTAGTTTATATGAAGCAGAACTTGTATAAAGTTGTTGCTAATGCTAAGTCTTTGTGCTTTAGCGTGTCCAGGCAAAGCTAGTTCTGTGTCACATGATGAGAAACAGAATGTGAGATGTCATTGAGAAGGTTCAGGGGATGTTTTGATTGATTCTGGGCCTCACGCTACAGACTTTGGGAATGGCAGGAATGGTATCGACCCGTGAACATCTGTTACATTATGAACACACGAATCCTTCTCAGAGCGGGACACGGCCCACGGTTTTATTACCGTTTTATCTGCAGCTCGGCCTCGAAGACACCGGAGCCTCAGGAGACTCCACAGTCTATTCATCTACAAATCCACTGTAAACTGTAAGTCCCTGTGTCACGGCCATGGCCACGGTCCACTTTATTTATGTAGCACATTTATAAACAGGTACAGTTTACAAGCACTCCGGAGTTTATTAATGTAGCACAGGTCATACACAGGGGAACTGCTAAACAGCACAAGAAAGAAACATTAAAGGTACATTTTAGGAAAGAATTTAAGTCCTCTCCACTTTTTGAACAAAACTCTGGTCTTATTTGACGAGCACGTATCACCAGAATGATTGACAGTTAGGAGGACCAATAGCCTTGAGGATCCACCCGGAAGTAGAACATCCTCATACCTTTTTAATCACAGAAGAAAATCAAAAATAATCACATACATTAGACAGAGAGAAGTAACAATCCTCCTGTTGTCTCCACAGTCACGTAAAACTATACATTAAACTGTTGTCTAATTATAAACTCTTATAAACCTGCACAAATGAACTATTCAAAAGTGACTTGGCTAAAAGCATAGCATGAAAGAAATGGCCAAGTTCATCCTCAATTACCGTATTACAGCTTTAATCTATCCATAACAATCAAAAACTCCACTAAATGTCTATGAAAGTCGAGCCAAACTAGCATTCGCCCACTTACCTGTCACTTTGTAGAGTAGAATATGCAAAATTAATATTATTTAATCTCGTATTCATCTGGAGATGGTAACAGCGTGACGAGGTTGCGTCTCAAATCTTCTCCTTCGCCCCTTTTATCACTCGATTCTTCTCATACTCAGCAGTAAATATGTGGGAATATTCTACCAACAAAAGAATATTAGAGAGTAAAGAAAAACGGAGAGAGAAGAGGCATGAGCTGATTGACCAGTAACAAGTGAAGGAATCGAGGAGAAAAGACGAGGAAACCAGACTCTGACAGAGATTTGGGACGCAAGCAGAGTTGAATCTACGCATGCGCAGTGGCGAACAGGGAAGCAGCAGGACGAGCGAATATTTACATTGATTTAAACACCTTTTTAGCGTAAAAACATGCAACTCCACTTCACTAAAGACGCTCTCCCGGACTCTGTCAGCAACGACTTCCAAAACCTCAACAAACTCAGCGAGCAGGTGAAGAACGGTGTCTGTCTCCTTCTTCTGTGGCGTCTGTGGATTCTATCATTGCAAGATTCGTGTTTTCTTTTAGGTGGTTTTTTTCAGCCCAATATGTGCTCAATTTAAAAATATAAGAAACATTTGAAAACTACGGTTCGGATGTTGTTCCTTGGAGACAGTAAAGTCACGTGACAGGCTGCAGACTGCTGTAAGCTCATTAAATATGGCCTTTTGCAGTTTAAAACCACTTTAGAATATATATACTATTATACCCAGTGTGCACCAGAGACCACACTAAACTACACTATAGAAAAGACACATTAAAGCTGGGGTACTTAACTTTTTATTTCATAAGTGTTATAACAGAAAGTGTCCTCTAAAAGTGAAGTGTTGTGTATAAATCAGACCACAACATTCTTCATCTTATAAACAGTCATGTTATTGTTTGTTTCACACACTTGATCCCTGTGAGTCACTCTTTGCCTCTTTGGGCCGAGAGCTGATTGATCGAGAGCTGATTGGCCGAGAGCTGATTGATCGAGAGCTGATTGGCTGAGAGCTGATTGGTTAAGAGCTGATTGATCAAGAGCTGATTGGCCGAGAGCTGATTGATCGAGAGCTGATTGGCCGAGAGCTGATTGATTGAGAGCTGATTGGCTGAGAGCTGATTGGCTGAGAGCTGATTGGCTGAGAGCTGATTGGCCGAGAGCTGATTGATCGAGAGCTGATTGGCTGAGAGCTGATTGAGTGAGGGTGGTCCTCTCTTTGTCACTTTTCTGTTTGAAAAAGATGGATTTTATACATAGTTTTCCATCACGTGCTTATTACCCATGAGGCTTTGAGCAAACGCCATGTTGCGAGTCAAGCTTATACTGCACGTATCATATGTCACGGATCATCTGTCCCCGTGTCATCTAAACCCACGGACACTGACCGACCCAAGTTATGATGCACTGGAGTAATCTGTGAGGAAAGATCTTTGAGAATCGGGAGATTTGGATCCATATGAAACACAGAGAGACCAGTGGACTTCAGGAGGTTTGGATCCATATGAAACACAGAGAGACCAGTGGACTTCAGGAGGTTTGGATCCATATGAAACACAGAGAGACCAGTGGACTTCAGGAGGTTTGGATCCATATGAAACACAGAGACCAGTGGACTTCAGGAGGTTTGGATCCATATGAAACACAGAGAGACCAGTGGACTTCAGGAGGTTTGGATCCATAGAGAATCAACAGTTAAAACACATGAAGAATATAAAGCACACACAGAAGAAAATGTCCATACATGTTGTAGAATGCTAAAGTGTCCTGAAACACAGAGAGACCAGCAGGGAAACCCACAGGGAGGGAGACCCATATGAGAAAGGGATCCGCTCCTCCGGACGGACAGACTAATGATCTAGGACCTAAGCTAGCTACAGACGTGGAACTTGGACCGGTGCAGGACCGAAGCACTCCCAGGCGGGTCGGGCGGGGCTCCGAGGTGTAGATGGAAGAGGCCAGGCTCAGAGATCCCGTCATCGTACCATGAAACAGACAATGGGACAACGGGTTAGCAATGAACAAACGTCAGAATCTAAAAATGCTAAACAGATAAAGTAGGAAGGAGGAGAGGATAGTGCTCAAGTTACCATACTTCTCCCAGCAAACTACTCCTATGCAGCTTGACTAAAGAGGAGTTTAACCTTCTCCGTTTTACCTTCCTAGCCATAGAGGACTGTTTTAAACTAGCCTTGAATAAAGAATAACATACAGCATAATATATAACATAATATACAACATAACACAATACATTATTGAATAATATATAACATAATATATAACATAATACAGCATATATATATAATATATACACTACATATTATATATTACCTAATTATATGCTAAATTAAAGTAAAGTGCTTTAAGCCTGGCCTTGAATGTGGAGACCGTATCTGCTTCCTTAACATAAATGGGAAGCTGATTCCACAGTAAAGGAGCTTGGTAGCTAAATGCTCTGCCACCAACAGTGACCTTTGAGACCTTAGGGACCACCAGACGTCTGGCGTTTTGTGAGCGCAACGCTCGACCTGGTTGATACGACACTAACGTGTCTTGGAGATAAGAAGGAGCCAAGCCATTTATGGCTTTATATGTTAAGAGTAGGATTTTAAACTTTATTCTGTACTCCACAGGGAGCCAGTGGAGTGATTTTAACACCGGAGTTATGTGCTCCCTCCTTTTGGTACCTGTTAAGATCCTAGCTGCTGTATTCTGAACGAGCTGGAAGCTCTTCAAAGAGGCTTTAGGGCACGCTGCCAGTAAAGCGTTACAGTAGTCGAGCCTTGAGGTGACAAACGCGTGAATGAGTTTTTCCGCGTCACTTTTAGGAAGGAAATTCCTAATTTTAGCGATGTTCCGTAAGTGGAAGTACGCCGTTTTAGTTGCTTGGCTTATATAAGCCTTGAAGGAGAGTTCTTGGTCAAAAATGACTCCAAGATTCCTCACAGTGTTACTGGGTATTATACTGACATTATCGAGAGTAACCATCTGGTTAGTGAGGGAGTCACGCAGGCGCTTCGGACCGAGTAGGATCACTTCTGTCTTCTCCGGGTTGAGAAGTAGGAAGTTAAGAGTCATCCACATTTTAAGGTCCTTTATGCAGGCACTGAGCTTTTCTAGCTGATCTGTCTGATTAGGCTTCATCGACAGATAAAGCTGTGTGTCATCTGCATAGCAGTGGAAATTAATTCCATGCTTTTTAATAATGTTTCCCAGTGGCAGCATGTAGAGAGTAAAAAGAATCGGTCCGAGTACCGAACCCTGCGGCACACCGAATTCCACTCCAGAATAAGGCGACGAGTCCTGATTCACATTGACGAAGTGATATCGATCTGATAAATAGGATTTAAACCA